TTAAAACATGAAAATGTTTCATGCATGGAAATCATATACAGAAATATGGAAATCAGAAGTCAAAATCAGTAACATACGATAAACCATATATCGGATAAGTCATATTCAGAAATCAGGTATAAAAATATACCGTAACCAGAAATCATATCAGAAGTGTGCAGTAAATCAGATATCAAATAAACAATATTTAGGTAGATATTTTAAAATAGTAAGGTACCACCTTCAAGAAACACACCTGTAACAGTCTGAGAATTCGGATAGGGAAGCCTACTACTGAGTCTGTCGATCACGCTCTACTGTAGCGCTAGATCCTATAAATCAAAAAAATCAATATTGGAATCCTAATATGAATAATCTTAACATTTATTTAAATAATTTACGGAAACATACGGGTAATTCTTGTTGTACGCGGATCAGGCGGATCTGGCGAACGAAAAACACCAGACCTAACTGACCATCGTTTAGGTGAAATACGAGTGCCTTCATAAAAATATCTTATTGGATTAATTTCAAAACCGTATCTCAAATAAATAAGCAAAAAATGTTAAAAATACGCATTTTTGGGTTAACGAGATCGATTCAGGACTCTCTGGTCAGAATTTGGCAAAATAGATTTCAGAATCAGATTTAGGACGTCGAAAAACATAAAATATGACATTTCAAAAAATTTAACTTTTTGGTCAAAGTCAAAATCAACGGGTTTGACCGACAATTTGGAGGCTTTCAGGTTCGAATTTGAAAAAACGGACTTCGGAATCGGACTTAGGAAGTCAAAAATTATTACATATCACTTTTCAAAATTTTGACTTTTTCTATCAAAGTCAACGATCAACAGTCAACGGCAGTCAACGGTCAAAAGTCAACAGTGGTCAACAGTCACGGGTAGGGTCACTATTCAAAATTGTCCCCACGCGCCGAACATTTCCCATGTGCAGGGGTGATGCGTGGGGGGGCGTGCGGTGGCCTACGGGCTCCTAAAATTACAAAAAAATCGTAAAATTATTTTAAGGGATTTTGAGACATTTACCAAGCTCGGTTCACAATTTCGAACGGCGGAGAACTCGATTTCGAAAAGTCAGAAACTTTAACTTCCTTACCTCCCTTACACGCTGACGACAACGGAGACAAGGAGGGAACCGGTGGACTCAGAATGACACAAGAAACATGATAGTGCAAGAGGTGTCGACAACGAAGCAACGATCGACGATGAATTGACGATTTTCACGGCGGTAGTGTTAAAAAAAGTTAAAAATTTGAATCGAAATTCACGGCGTTAGACAACGTTTTGCTACGATCGGTTTACGAGATTTTGTTCACCGGTCGAAGACGAACACGATGGTAGTTTCGGATCGACGATCGATGGCCGAACGATGAAAAAATTGACGTTGGAAAGAGGGTTGGCGGGGAGGCAATTTAGAAATTTTGTTTCTGGTTTCTAGAAACCAATTTCAACGCAATTTAAAAGGAATTGCATGCCGACACAAAAGGTAAAATTCAAGGTTAGATTCCTGATTTTCCTTCAATTTCTAAAATGGCCTTCAAGTTTTGAAAATTTTTAATTTGACCCTCAATTTCACCAAATTGTTTATTTTTTTCCAGGTTGTTACAACTTTATTCCATCTCCTATTTTACTTATTGAAATTTTAATATAGGATTCGAAACGACATCGTTTTGGTGTATATTTGAGTTTTTCAAAATGATGTCATTTTGATGCTTGTGCCACGTCATAACGCCATTAAATAGTTAACAATAGAGAGAGCAAAATGATTCAATCTGTAAAGTTCAGTGAGCAAAATAGAAAAATTGAAAGTTGGATAAGGAAAATATGAGAGAAAGTATAATTCAATGAGGAACTGAGTAATTTACCCATATAATAATTTGAGAATTTGTTGTGTGGCTTTGAGCAAAGGGAATGCTATTTTATTTTGATGTTTTGAGTTGGTTTGTAAAGTATGTATTGTTAATGATTAAAAAATTAGAGTTAGATATATAAATGATCTACATTTATAGTATAATATTTTATTGGGTCTTCTGATTATTAAAAATTATAAAATGATCTATTGATTGTAGGGTTCTAATTTGTCGAGTCATCAACTATTGAAAGTTACAAAATGACTATTCGAATACTCATATGTTTTAAACTTATCATTTTCCGTTAAAAAACCTATTAATCTTTTGAGCTTGATGTTAATCAATTGATTAAGATATGATAAAATATAATCTCATAATTGTTTGAGATGTATTTTATATATTGACTTTTTTATATTATATTGTCGAGTTAATGCTTGAAATATTATATTATCGAGTTAGTGTTTGAAAATAGAGATGATATTCATAGATATCATTAAATTATAAGTTTATCTAAAATTCAATTTTATAAAAAAAAATTTAAATATATAAATATAAAATCATATTTATAACTTTTTTAGTTACAAAACTTAATAAAATAGCGCTGATTAGATATAAAATACTTTTATAACTTTTAATAGTCGTTAACGAACATCACTGTTACCAGAAACAGCAGAAGACCATTTTTATCGTTTTCAGTTCAGTTCTGTTCCGTTTTAGTTCGTGTCTGATATCAAACCCCTTTCCAACCTTGAATCAAACCGACAATGTCTCCATTTCACCTATTCTCAATAAAACACCATCCTTCACCGATAAAAACACTTGTTTTCCCCCTTCTCTCCGCTTCTTTCTTGCCAATCTTCGCGTTCATTCAATTCCAGAGACGACAGGTGAAACCTTTCACTAATTTCACATTTTCTCCAATGGTTTTTTGCTTTGTTGCTGTTTTCGGTGTTGCATGTAGATACCTGTTTATAAAAGAGTGGGCGCCGATTGATTTTCAGTTTCATTTCTGTGGTTAAATTGAAGCAATAAATGACTTGATGAAACGAAGTTTCCAGATTAGATTCGTCGTGGGTTCATATTTTTATGTGTTGGTATAATTCATATATATATATATATAAAGCTGTTAAATCATTGCCTTTTCATTTCGTGGAATTTCCGGGAAAATGAAAATTCTGAAGATTAATTTATCTGTTGTGACGATGGGCAGTTTTAAACGAGTTTAACTGTGGGAATTGGCGCATATATATATATATATATATATATATATATATATATATATATATTGTGTTATTTTGGTCTTTCACTTTTACATTTTTACATTTTGAAAGGAAATTTTAGATTTGGACAATTTGCATAAGATTTAAGATTGAAAAATGGATATGGGGAATGATTTTCTTCTTCTTAGTTATCTATATGATATTCTGATCAAACCACATTTAAGATGAAAGTTTAAAATCTGACTCCATTAGTATGTTTCGCCGACTCTTCATTCTTTTTAAGCATCCTTCTCCGACACATCCGGGCATAAGTTGGTGATATGACCTTTGAAATACATTGAGAAACTTTTAGAAAAAAATAATTTTGAGCATATCCATGTTGGACACATATGGGTCTCCGACACTCATTCCCGAGCCCAAATTACATAGTGTGCCAATGCCAAAATTTATATGGGGTTTACCAATGAAGATTGTGCTAGCTCAGACTAAGGAAGTGTTAATCGAACTGCTTTGTTAATGCAAAAAGAACGAGTAAGAAGATTCTTAGTGTCAAAAAAAATATACTTATATGTTTCTGTTTCAGGCTTGTCTAGATTTAGAAAGGAAGTAATGTTGCATATTTATCACTAGAAGCATTTTTGGAAATAAAAAGGGACCAGTTCGTATTATGAAAATTGACTCGGTAGTACCTCTGATCTTGCATGACAGGTTTGTTAGTGTGGAAGGTAATGAATTTTGCCTGTACCAACTACAATGTACCTAATTGCTTACTTTTGTCATTAGGTATATTTTCCTGATGCATGAGTGTGCAGCGGCTGCATATATTTGCTGATATTACATGACAATAAAATATGATTTAGCCTAAGCCTTTGTAGCTTACTCTGGAGCTATGATTCAAACAATACCCTCAACCTCAGTGAGGAAGCCGGCTTGAGACAAAAAACCGAGAGAGAAAAAAAAAAGGGTTTGCTTTAAACAATTGTTTTTTATTCGGAAAGTATTCCTAAAAAAACTATAAAAGAGAGATCTGAAGTTTGGAAGACACTATTGGAGGTATTGTTCTCAGTTTGTTTCATTGTGTGCAAGAGTTATGCCTTTATTCTTTTTAAGTGATTTTCCGTATTCCGAAATGGATAACCCTTTCTCTGTTTTTACATTTGTTTCTCTACGAATTAAGAATGGCTTTGAAGAGACTTATTGACTAATAAACTTGTCTATTAGACCGACTTCTATTTTCCACATGAATGTGTTCATATTCAACTCTTTGAACACGGAGATGATGGCTGACCTCGGAAATTGTTGAAAATAATCAGGGTATGATATTTTCGGACTTCAATTTTTGGTTATATGAATGTACCTTGATTTAGATGATTATGACATGTAGGAAAGTCGTCGGTTATATCCTCTTCGTAGATGCTTCCAAAACTATTCATATGGATTGAGTTGTCATTTGCCAACAATGACATATTTGGTTGTCAGTTTCTAGCAGTGAGAAAAGGTAAAAAATTTACATTTTTACTGATTCTAATGCAGCAAAGTTTAGTAGAAAATTAACCACTTTAGTGTTCGCTTTTTCCTCTTGGGATTCTGTGATGTCTATTCCAGTGCATAGCCCTGCATGAACTCCTATATATCTCCTTAGGGTGAGAGATGAAGTATTGCTGCTGCCTTGTTTGTTAGATTGCAAACTTCTCCTTGCGTAAAAGATCTAAAATTCAGATCTTCCTCAATTTGATTCGTTTTAATTTAAAATTGCCGGACTGATGTGGATTCTTAATTAGAAATTTGATTTGTGGCTAACCTTACCCCTTTGTTGCAGTCATCGGGCTCTTGGTTATTTAAATCAAGGCTATATAATATTGTTAACTTTGTTGGTCACAATTTTCTCTAAAGATTGCTGCATGTTTATAACCGAAATTTCGAGATTATATTTGAAGAAAACGGTGATTTTATTGGCAATATACAAAAATAGGCACGAAATTGCCGAGGAGCAATGTTGTGGTAAGTGTGTTATTTTCCTCCTGCTTTTTTCTCATGTATTTTATTGTTCCATGCTGATGCATCGATTATGTTGTTAGTGTGTCTAGTCGATGCATGTATTGGACTGATGAGATTGAGTCCACGATTCTGAATGTGACAGGTGATGTGTTCATAGTGTAATTTAATCCACCCGGAAACTACAGGGAAAAGAAAAATGCTGTTTTAGGTCCGTTTGTTTCACGTAAAACATTTTTCGGAAGACGTTTTCCTCACTTTTTAGTGTTTGATTGGAGGAAAACATATTGGTTAATGTAAAACATTTTCCTTGTCAACAGAATTTCCTTTGTATTTTCTAGAAAATGACTTACGGTTTAATTTTTCGTCATTTTCCAAACTTTTCGCTTCAAAGCATAAGTACTCAAAACAATATTATTTTATAAATTAATATTAATATGATATTTTAGTATATTTTAATAAAAATATCAATTATTAACACACTTAAAATATATTTATTAATATTTTTAATAATATAATATAATTATAATATTATTACAATAATATACTCAATTGTATTATAATAATAAATGATACTATTATATTCTCATTTTAATAATATATAATAAATTATTAATAAAAGATATATTATTTATTAATTTCTTAAAAATAATATTATTGAATTATTAATAGTGAATACTTTTATTTATGTATTTAATATTAATATAATAGTCTACTAATATTAAAAATTCCTTAAATATATTTATTAATAATTTTAAAATATAATATAATATTTTTATTTTTATAGATATTCAATATAATTTATCATATTTTTATTTTAACAGAATATACTAGAATTAATATTTTATTTATAAAATTATAGAAATAATATTGGCATAAATAGTATTAAATAAATTATTCTAATTTTTTAAATAATAATATTAAGTTTTATAATAATAATATTTTTTAAAAATTTATCAACTAGTGAAAAATGGTTTACATAACATCTTCCAAAAACCATAAAATATTTTTCAAAAAATGCTTTCCAGAAGATGTAATTCATTTTACGGAAAATATTTTCTGGAAAATATTTTCAGTGAAACAAACGAACTCTAGTTCAATCTACGAAAATTATGTCTGTAGTGCACTGGACAGTTGTGTCCTGAACGGAATGATAATGATATTCATTGAATAGTAAATGAATTTTCAATCCGTAGAGCATGCAAATTTTCTTCTATCTGTTTCCTTATTTTTTTCATGATAAAATTTTTGTTGGGTAGGAAAATTGTGCGTTCTGCTATCTTACCAGTGGTGAATGTGTCCATTATAATGTCTGAATATTGGGGTATCGTTGATCTCAGTATTTGTTAACCGAAAAAGTACTGATATCTGCTACATGTGTAGTTTTCTTATTGGATGAAGGAGGTGAAAAGAATTAGAAATGGATGAAACCGGTGGTGAATGTGTTTATCGTGATAAGTGGTACGAAGTAGAGTGTGCAGAAAACGTGCTTGTCAATATACTTTCGAGGCTTCCGATTAAGTCAATTTTAGTATGCAAATCCATTTGCAAGCATTGGAACTGGTTGATAAGTAGTCAGGCTTTCATTGACGAGCAGCTACTCCGGTCTCGGAAAAACTCGTTTTACATAGTTTACCCATTCATGGATGTGCTGATGGAGTTATTTTTTGTGGATAACAACGGTGAAATTGATAAAAGGTTGAGCTTCCCGTATTGTGAGAACTTTTCTCCGATTACAATCATTTGTTCTTTTGATGGTTTACTCTGTTGTATGAACTATCCGTGGAAAGCGGACTCGGGAAGGGTAGTTGATGATGAAATCGATCTGGAAATCCGTATCTGCAACCCTGTTACAAAAAAGGCTCTATTAATTCCGAGAGGTAGCCTGTCCAATGAAAAGCCTTCCATCGGGGTTGCTTTTGGTCCAAAAATCAATGAATACAAGATATTTCGGTTTTTCTCTGCCAAGTTCATATCCCTAGCTAAACATCCATCCCGCAATAGTCGACAATGTGAGGTATATTCATCGAGCACTGGATCCTGGAGTGTCATAGGTCGTGTACCATACTGTCCAATGCATTCTAGCCATAGCCCCCTGGGGTCCAACCATGTTTTCGTCAATGGAAAGATATATTGGTTTATTGCTTTGGATGAAGATCCATTAATTCCGGGCTCGATCCTTACGGTTGACTTAGATGAGACGTTTGGAACCATTAACCTTCCAGGAGATGTCACAGAGCACTCATACTTGGTTAATCTCAAAGGCTGTTTATCCCTAGTTTCTGTACATGATGAGGATGAGATCATGAATATATGGATTCTCGACAGCAGGAACGAGCCTAAATGGGAACTGAAATGCAGAGATATCGTCCCCTTCTCGAATGATGAATGTGCTGAATTTGTAGTTGCAATGGAGAATGACCTTTTTGTCATAACTTCAAGCCAGTACCATATCTATGATTCGGAGTACAGGTTTTGGAGGGAGCTTTATTTACCAAGGATGTTTGAAACGAATTTTCCTGTCGCTTTCACATACACCGAAAGCCTTCTTTCTTGTAAGTCGTTAGTTTTACTGATTAGATCCGTATGTGATATATGATATCAACATTGTAGCTGCTGCTTTTGCAGGTGGTGGACGGATCGATCCTACGATTGAATACATATCCCAAAGAAGCATATGACATGCTCTCGATTCGCTCTTGTGTATCTGCCGTCCTTATTTTGATTTTGTAAATGTTTTGTATTGTATCCACCTTAAACTCTGAATCCAAACTGTCGTTGTTTATTAATTGCAGACCAAAGCTTCCGAGGATTGGGATATCGCCTTCTTCGTCATGCCATGAAATCCTTCTCCAGGGCCGATGATGTTTATCTTCTTTATCTTTCGTTTTCGCAATGTTGTAAGTTTGTTTGTGCATCTGCTGTATGCTGGTGACTTATTCCGACAAATCTTTGTTGAAGAAAACCAATGTTTATTTCACAGGTGTGATGTTATAGTTTTTGTTGAGCGTCAAATTTCGAGTTACGAACATGAAAATTATTTTCAGAAGCCGGGTAAAAACGAAAAAGAATGTGCCAACGAAAGCTCAAATGAACAGCTGAAACCGTAAAGAATTGAAAATCCATCTGTTTTATTGATCGTCATTGTTACTTTACGAGATATAACCAATGTCAGTATAATGATTATAATAAATACACCAATGTTAATATATCTTGTAGACACTTGTTTTTATCCGGGTCTTTTTTATTATTATTTATTTATTATTATTATTTTAATTATTATTATTATTATTATTATTATTATATATTACATATTTTGCTTATTTATTATTATTATTATTATTATTATTATTATTATTATTATTATTATTATTATATATTACATATTTTACAGGCTATTTGAAGCCCAAATACAACCCATCAGGAGGCTAACCCAACAGACATGAAGCCTAATCTCGGAACCCAATTCAACTTAGCAGCCCCAAAGCAGTCAAGACCCAATTAATACAACCCAACCCGACCCAACAACAGATACCCATCAAGATCCAACCCGACCCGAATCGTCTAGGGTTTCATCATAACCCTAGGTAGCTTCCTCTGCCGCCGCGCGCCTGTTAGATCTGCCATCTCCGACCGTTTCTGTCGCCGCTATCACCTACAGTGACCGAGAGTCCATCAAACAGTGGAAAAAGTAGATAAAATAAGAAAAAATATTAAGGCAAAATCTGGGGTTGTCAATCCATTAGTCTGCACCAAATCCATCATACAAATCCATCACAAATCAGAGGATAAAAAGAACAAATAGAAGACAGAGGGGACTCATTCGGTGAAGAGGAGAGAACTGAAAAAAACCGAGGAGCATTCGGTGAAAAAAATTGAACCAAATACCAAAGGAAAAAAATACATTGAAAAGAAAAAAATCAGAGAAGCAACAGAGAGCAAGAAGAAGAAAAAGGTAGAAGCCTTACCTCGATTTGAAGGAGGAAGCTAGGGGGTCGTCGGTTTCTGGGGTTTTCGAAAGGTAAATTGGTAGATCTAGGTTTATTGGGTGAGTTTTAGCTTAAAAGGCTTAAGGTTATGGGCTGAGAGTGTCGAGAGGGAGATGTTAGGGTTGTTCCGGCCGCCGTGCGCTACCGTGAGCTTCACCGGCGGCGACCCTTTTCTTCCCCGGCAAAGGGGATGTTAAGAGAATTTTCTCTCTCATTCTTTTTTTTTTTGAAGTGAAGGAAGAAATAAGGGGAGTTGGGGGAATTATGCTTGGGTTTGGGGTTATATACAAGGCACGAAACGCTGCCGTTTTGGCATCCTATTCCCGTGTTTTCAAAGTCTTAAGGGGATAATAGCATGTTTGGTCCCTGCGTGTTGAGAACCTCACCCGTGTTGCTCATATTTTTAGGGTAAATCACATTGTAGGTCCCTGTTCATTTGTAACCTTTACATTTTAATCATTAATAAAACTTTGTGAAATTTTATTTTGAGCATCTACTTTTATTTGTTTACATTTTAGTCTTTATCTGGTTGGTTATGATATTTTATTAGTGTTTGACTTTGGCTATAGTATTTATAATAGTTTCATTTTAGTCACTGGTAGCATGTGTTGTATATTTTTATAGATGTTCGAATTTGGCACTAATATTTGTAAATATTGTATTTTGGTCACTGTTTGGTATTTGGTTTAATTATTGTTTGACCCTTTAGGATTCTGGTTTATTTTATTTTAGTCATGTATATTATTTACGGGTTATTTACATATCTGGTCTTGTATTATGTAACATTTTCGATTCGGGCCTTAGTTTATTTTGTAACTACTGTTTAACCCTTTTAGTTTCTGCTAATATCATTTGAGTCCCTTAATTTTCTATTTTTACTATTTTAGTCCTTTAAATGTCTGCATTTGTTATTTAGCCCCTTAAGTTTCTATTTTTACTATTTTAGCCCTTTAAGTTTTTATTTTTGCTATTTTAGTCCTTTAAATTCTTGTTTGTACTATTTCGGTCCTTTGAGTGTATGTTTTTGCTATTTTGGTCCTTGTAATTTAAAATACTTATTTTTTGGTTATTTTATTTCGATTTGTAATATTAATTTGCTTGTATGTCAATTCTTTATGTATGTACATTTTATATGTTATGTATTCATTTATATCATATGTTAAATTATGCTTAACTCTATTTGTTGTAAATATTTTATTTCGCATACTTCTATTCGTATTTATTTCCATTGTAATTCTTTATTTAAATATTATCCTAATATTTCAAGAACACGTGTTTGTAGAACGGGCGTGGAAAGTATCACTTGATCGAAGTGGTACAATCTGACACGACGTTCGAACGATATGGGACTTGAAATAAATGGATTTTATTTTAGTTAATTAATTCATTTTATTTCACGTTGTACAATGCAATACACGTTTTTAAATAGCGATTTATTTTATTTTATGTCAAATGTCAATATTCAATTTATATTCGATTCGCATTGTATCAAAGAGGGAATATTCTTTATGGATAAGAAATAGTCGAAATAGCTTTTCTGACAAAAGATTGTTAATTTCGAGATTTCTTTTCAAGTTAAAGAATTTTCCTTAACATTAATTAATTCGAAGTAAATTAAACAATGTTCAATAAACGTATCATCTTTTAACTTTATATTTGATTTGTAATTTCCACCATTACAACAACGTGTAAGCGACACGGTACCGGTTTTTTGGCGTTGTGGGGGTGTTAATCCTTCACCACACGTAACTGACTCCTAAATCCATTTAATCGAATCTTTTGTGATGCAGACCAAATTTTGTCTTATAAAATGTTTTTTCTTAAAATTGTTTTAAAAGACGTTTTTAGGTATTCGACCTACCTAACCCAAAGGTCGATGGGGACTCCATTTCAATTTAATCCAAATCAATCCAAAATCACTGATTTTTCAAAATAAAAGTCATAATTGTTTTTTAAAATAATATTTAATTGTTTTACGAAAAAATGGTTATGACAGCTTGGAGACTCCGCTGGGGACTTTTTTTAAAGAGTCGGGCTGTAGGTCGCTTACACATTGTCGTTTGGTGGAAATTACGAGTTCAAGTCTTTAGTTAACTTATGACCCGTTTATTGAAGGTTTTAATTGATTCATTGTTAATTGTCATACTAACATTTTAATTTTTGCTTTTCAACTTTGTCCAAGTTTTTATCGAATTTGTTCTCTTTTCCGTTTTTGAGTCAAAGGTAGGTATGCTCCTCTTCACACACATCAGGTGCATTTGCATAACATAAGCTCTAGACACGAGCTTCATTTCAATTTAATCGGGGTGATTGCTTTCCTCTCGTAAGAATTTATTCTTCGTATGAGTTTTGGCAAATAACCCATGGGATACATGCCTTATACCTTCATAGGGATTTATTCCTCGTATGGGTATAAGGCAGTGAATCCCATCGAGTTGAACTCGTTCTGTTCGAACCTGTAATGAGTGAGGACCGAGGGTTTGGCAGCCCAAGGGGGCACCGACATCAAGGATAATTTGAGTACCTATTTCCTATTAGAGCTGAAGCCATGCATATAGTGAACCGTAGAGTGGTCACCTTAGGTATAGGCATGTTGAGCCTCTGTCTGTCAGTAGGTACCCAAAATAGGTGTACACAAAGGAGGAGCGTTTTTGAACTTTTCCTTTTTACTTTAAATTTTTTTTGAATAAAAGCATGCGAATTAGATACCATATGGTTATGATTAATTTCTTGATTAATCATTTTGAGTAGATAGCATGTCCGGGTAGGAATGTTATTTAATTAAAGCATGTTCGGGTAGATATCATGATGGGGTAGGTGTTATATTCATCTTTGAATAACATTTTTACTTGTATCGATTGTCTTACCTGTATTAACTAATTTCTTTTCTTTTGTTTGTGTATACTAACTTATTTCGTTTCTTTTGTTTGTGTCATTTTTCATCATTCTTTGCATTGCATTGCATCGTCATAACATAATGCACAAATATTGATCAGCAAGGGGATATTCGAGAGAAAATTTTCACAAGAAAAATAAAAATTTTCAATCAAGCAGTCGCATACACAGACATACATCGAGGGCTGAAAGAAGTTCAGAGTACCAGATTGAGGCTTGCTCAAAGATCGTACAACATTTGAGACTGGAAAGATGATCCACTGATCCGAAGAGTAATCCAACAGTAGATTCTCATCTACAATCATTTCAACGCTAATCATCAAGGATTGACGCACAGTCTTCAACACCGCTGGGCATTAATGGAGTTAGGTTACAGAACATTTGAGGGGCATCATTTTCGGGGACGAAGATCCGAGACGAAGGATCGACCCACTTCAGATTCAACATCTAAGCGAAGGCATGTCTGTAAAGTGGAATGTCTTATAATATGAAGATTTTTACCTCTGGTGAAAATTATTCTATGATATTCATCGTTGGAATCAACATTTTTGCATTTGCATTTGCATCTTTACATTCTGCATAACATTCATTTAAACATTTTTACATGCATTAAATCGTGGGGAACTTTGAAGAATCGCCTCTAACTGTGCAACTGCATTCACACAATATTGAGAATGGATACACAATTTGAGGATTTGAAGAAATAGCTGGAAGAGAGTTTGCAAAAGATGCAAGCAGAGTGGGAGGTTAAAATGGAGCAGATGCAAAAGACCACCATGGATCGTATCTTGCAAAACCAAAAAGACCTAGTTGGC